TTTCATATGTTTATAGATCTACTTGATTTTAACCATTTTTAAAATTTAAAATTTTATAATTAGATATAAATTTAGATTTTGAGATAATCCTAAGAATATTTTACGTCAAAATTATATACCATGATAAAGTTTGAAGGTGCACCTTACCTCTACAACTATGGATGCATCCGTATGCCAACTGCACCCTTTCTCAATATCTAAAAGATGACTCCTACTATGAATCCCACATCCCTAACTATATAATAGGCTTCCCAAAACCAAAAATATTATTCATACTAGACAAATCTCTACAATAAAAAAATCCAAAAAATAACTATGAGTAATTAAAAACCTAAATAATACCCAATCTAAAATAAAAAATATATAAATATATAAAAATATAAAAACTCACTGCATCATGTACCAAATTTATATTAGTAATAAAACGGGTAGAAGCCCTTTCCTGGTTGATTCACCCAAAATAATTAGAAAAGCATAAAAATTAGGAAAAAGTCGAGCACTAAGTAGGGGGGCAACAGACCCGGACCCAGTCGGATCCGAGTGACTTTGATTGGGACCCTACTTGGGCTCAGGTTAGGTCTAAATGATTTGAACCTAGACCTGGGTCTGGAAATTTAAAAAATAAAAATTTATTTTATATAAATTAGTATACATATTTTCTATACTTGTACTGGGGCAAGTCAACCCCAACCCGAACCGGACCCAACATGATAGAGGTCCATGCCGGGCCCGGTTCAGGTGTGACCCAACTCAATAGTTCCAAGTGACTTAGACCAAGACCCTACTGGGACCCAGGTCAGGTCCCAATCATTTGGACCTAGACCAAGGTCTAAAAATTGCAAAAACAAAAATTTAATTTATATAAATTTAGTATACGTATTTTCTATACTTGTACTGGCTAAGGTCGACCCCAACCCAAACCAAACCCAACCTGATAGAGGTCCATGACGGCCCGGATCGGGTGCGACCCGACTCGATATCCAGTAATTTGTTGGCGATTCTGGGAAAAAATTCTGTTGATTTCAAAAAGAAAAAGGGACAAATTTGATTCGTCCAATTGTCTGTAACTTCCAACTTTCAAACCACTTGCTCGCTACGGCGGGTTGTAGACTATGATAAGGGCCTTGTTTCCGCCCAAAATCTCGCAAATGTCCTGCCCTTTTGAAAGAGTTAATTTATAGTTCAATGATAAAATAAAACTTCCATGGACACCAAACCCACAATTTAGTAATCCACCCAAAATGATACAAAAGGGTGACTAAAACTTGGGCCAAGGGAAAAGCAAAATGATAGTCCAATTATAAAGCAAAACCTACACATTTTGCCCCTCCTCTTTTGAGTGACATTCTCAGCAATAACCAATTTTTAATGATTTTTAAGTGATATAAAATATAGGTTTCATAGCCTATTATAAGGGCTAAACTCTAAGAATTGGCCTTTAATTCAAGAAGTGTGATGGGTTTGATAAGAGTTTTAGGAACCAGAGAGCTGACTTGAAACGGCCTAGGCTTGACCAACCTGAGGTTAAGACTTCTCTAATTTTTTCCATTTATTTTATTTATTTATTTTTTGGAACTGGTAGGTGACAAGTTTGACCCATTGATTGTTTCAGATACTAAGATATATAACACAACCAATTATTTTCGGTTACAATGATTAAAAAATGATTATTTTTCAATTGTTAGCGTTGTCCTAATGACTAAAAGGTATTGCCGTAAAAATATCACTGAGCCGATTTCTCTAGCACAAATGTTACCAACACTAAGGGCTCTTATGTAAATTGCCCTCGTAACTTTAAGGGTGCTTTTAATTTCTGGAAGACATGGTTTTTGGAAGTCAGTCTTCCATTATTGTAACAGGAAATTATAGTAAGAAAAATTGTTTCATGCGCTTTGGGTCACATTTCTACAATATGCGGTCAAGAGATATAAAGTATCTATCTTAAAGATGGATGCAAATAGGTGGTCCATTTGAAAAACAAGTTTAACTGACGGTCCAAATATTTTTTTAATATAATTGTTATTTTTTGTTTTCATTTTTTTTTTTTATATTCATGATCTCCATGTTAAAGGTCATATATTCTCTAAAAAATAGGATAAAATTATATTTAAAAACTATTTTTTGCCAAGCCTGCATTTCTACAATATGTGGGTTGGACGCATAAAAACCGTATCCTTATAGTAAAGTGGACCCACTTAACTTGTATGTAAGGCTAGCGAGTTCCATAGAGAACTTGAGGTATCCGCTTCCCTAGAAAACACACTTTCCAAAACCATGTTTTCAAGAAATCAAGCACATCATACGTTTTTGGTTTTCTAGTTAGGAAAATGCTGAGATTAGCCCTCTAGTTCATATGAACTTATGAGCTCAACTGTCCAGATTAAATCTAAGTCAATCTAACGATCATGATCTCATTTCATATTTTAATTTTAATATTTTTTCTACAAATCCAAATAATATAAAATTTCAGGCGTCCATTCTTCTCATCAATATGCACATAATAAAAATATTTAAAAACTAATTCACAAAAAATCAATTGACCAAAATACCTCCGAAACCTTTCAGGGGTATTTTGATCAATTTATTTTTTATAAATTATTTTTTTGATATTTTTATTAGATTTTCCTATTTTTGAAGAATACACACTTAAAATTCAAGTAATTTGGATTTATAAAGAAAATCAAATTTGAAATTCGAAATGACGTTGTGACCGTTAGATCCGCCTATATTCAATATGGGCCGTTGGGCTCATATGTTTACATAAGCTAGTGGCCTAATCTCAACATTTTCCTTTTAGTTAAGAGGCCGTGTGCTATGTTCCCTTGGAGAAAAATTTACATCTATTCCAATGATCAAATGACCTATTTAATAGATTTTTTAAATCTAAAATTTTAGGTTTCCCATTAACATCACTTAAATCAATATTTTTAAAGAAAAATTTTCAATATTTGATTACTATCCAAAAATTGGATTGTTTCTAGGATCATAGGATGTAATTTCTATTTGGTTCACCCAGTAGAGCCCTCTCGTATTAATATGGATGCACATAGTGGAACCCATATTATAGGATATAAAATAAAACCGATATGTGTGTGTATGAATAGAATTCATGCAATAAAATAAATAAAAAATTATTGCACCGAAATTTACTTGTTTTACCTTTTCAGTTTACATGATAAAGATATCAAATTCACTATTAAAAACAATAGCTACAAAGTTTTTCAAAAAAAAAAGTTGTTTAGGCTCTCTAGCTTTTTCTAAAGACTTTCTCTCTTTAGGTTTTTTTTTGTCTGATGTTCTTTCTCTCAACAGCTTTCTTTTTGTTTGAGTTTATCTCTCTCCTACACTTTTCTGTCTCTAAGAGACACTACCATAAACTCATATAAATATTATTTCTCTTTCCTTCTCTCTTACAGTATTATAAATAGTATTATAAGTACCGTAATATATTTTCAAAGTATTACGATACTCGAAGTACCGTAATTCTATCAATGCCTTTACAATAGAGAGACTACCGTAAAGGGTATTTTTATCCAAAAAATCATAAAATTGGGAAAAAATGTGTGTGCGAGGTTTTGGGGAGTTTAGGTTTTTTTTTCAATTTTGTTAAAATTAAGGAATGTTAGCGATAATTTCCCTAGATTTTAAGTTTTGGAAATAGTGCATCTAGTAACGTATTTTTAGACCGTCAATTTTCAAGATTTTCAAGTTTTCATAGATCCTCTCGATCTACACTATTTATGAATATTTAAATTTTATAATTAAAGATGAAAATGTATTTTAAACCCTTCACAAAGATTTCAAGTATTGAAACCACAGTTATCAATATTATTTGAAGGTACGCTTTACTTTGAATGCCTCAACTCTATACAAACCGCACCCAAATATATTTAAAGGCTATCACAAAGATTTCCCATATTGAAACCATATTTCTCAGTACTATTTGGAGGTTCCTCTATTTTGAATGTTTAGAGCCTCGGCTCTATATAACCTGCACCTTTTTTATAAAGTTTAAGCTTTGTAGAAAAAAATGAAAAAAGACTCACTTATAAATTTTGTCCAAAGAATACTTCAGGCATGAAAATCCTTGATGACTAAAATTAATTTCCACCATTAGTTATGAAATTTGTAGCTCAAAAAAGATAGAGATCTCACGGATTTGTAGCTAAAAAAAAAAAGATTATGTGGATCTATCATCATCATTTTAGCATTTTCTCAATTAATTGAGGTCAAAAATCTTGACAATATATAAACACCTAAAAAATAGATGGCCTATAATATTTGCTATTTTTAAGAATTAATTTTTTTCATAAGTATATTATCAAGCGAGATTGATTTTAAGGTTTTTCAATGCCACAATTGTAATTGGGATTGTATACAATGAAAACATTTACCTTTTATACAATGTCGTCACAATTATGTATAACCATCTGATATGAAATCTGATAGTTTGGATGTGTCACAAAACTCAAAAAAAATTATTTTAAAGTCTAAACTTAGTAATGGAATAAATACAACCATCTAATTTCACATCCAATTATTAAGATTAATTGTGACCATCTTGTACCAAAGATAAAATGTCTAATTTTATATTTTTTCATAATTATCCATGAATTTTGAGGTGAGGTTTTAATTATCTTGATAGGAGTGCATCCCCATGAAAACATTGTCTTCAAAAAAAATTTACACGCGCAAAGGCTAACATCGAAATTTAAGATCAAATTAGGCACATTTTCATTACCGATTTTGAATGATGAGTCGGTGGACTGACGCAAACATGCCACGTTATTTCGGACCCACAAGAGCGGATGCCGTGGTCCGTGCCACGTGGCACGTGAGACTTGCCCGGAAAACGAAGGCAAAAGTTCGCTCTCCATAAAACCCTTACCTTTTCGCCTCCGATTCTCTCTCTCTCCTATTTTCTCTCTCCTCTTTCTCGCTCCTATTTTCTCTCTCCTCTTTCTCACTCTTATTTTTCTGTCCTCTGTCTTCTCTCTCTCGCTCGTATTTTCTCTCTCCTTGCTGCTCTCTGGTCTCTCTCCTCCTTGCTCTTCTCGCTGTTCTCTCTCTACTCTCCCTGTTTTCTCTCTCTACTCAGGTTTGTTCTCCCTTTTACAGGCCGCCGGCTTCTGAGGTACTGTATTTCCTTACAGCGTGAATTGCCTTTGCATATGTATATGTAACTGAAGCAGTTTGAATTTCTTCTTTGTGCTATTAGAGAGATTGGTTCTCTTAATTTTTTCTTAGAGAGATTGGCTCTCTTAATTTTTTTCTTTCTTTTTGGGGGTTAAGTTTTTGGGTATTCTTTTTTACATAAGCACTTGTTGGTTGTTCTATGAGAGAGATTGGTTTCACTTAATTGTTGTTTGTTTTTTCTTCATGTGTATGTTATTTCCTTCTATGTTTGTATGATGGTTCAGACTACTCTTTGGTGATTGAATTGTTTGTTTTTTTTGTTGGCTGGTTAATGGGTTTTGGGGTTTCATGTGCCTTGGGGTAGTTTATGATGAGACTGACCTAATTATTAGATACACAATATCTTACCGTAAAAGAAAAGGAAGAGACAAAGGTATGGGCTTTGCTGGAATTATTTCTTGTTATTTTGGTTCTCAACTAAACAGGAGAAAAAAGAAAAAGAAAAAAGGAAGAAGAAGAAAGACTTGGGTTAGCTAGTTCCAGTTTTACAAAACAATCCCAGTCTAATTTATTTTTAATATGTTTGTTTGTGTTTTATATCATTCTGGCAAAGATTGAAAAGTGTTTTTGCCATGAATACTTAATTTTAACTACTTGTTTAACCTCAATTTGATGTGGTTTGTTTAATTTTACTTTAAATATTTTTTTCCTATTTTTGGGATTTTGTCTTTTTTATTCTTTAAAACTTTTTGGCTTGACCGGACCGGCCGAGTCCGAATTGCTCAGTGTGTTCAAACACTAGGACTAATTATGTGGAGCTATGTTCTATTCCTTTCAGTTCGTTGGATGGATAGACCAATTGAATTGTTTCCTTGAATTGGGTTTTCTTTTGTAGTGTGAGAATTTTACTGATAGCTATGAATTTGTACTTTGTTCTCTTCTGAATTCTGTTTATTTGGGGTGTAGTTAGTTGTTATCCTTTTACATAAAGGAAGTTGGGTACATGCCTAAAGCTAGTGTACTACGTATTTGTTTGTGAGTCAATCTCTCCTGACCACTTTCAATCCTCATGTAATAACCCGAAGACTTTTGCAACCTTTGGTCAGTGCCCGAGACGTTGCACCCATATTCATATGATCTTATTAGTATCAGTGCCCGAGACGTTGCTCCAAGTTAGTGTTTTTTAGTGAGTCACCATTCAATGAGCGAGGTTAGAAGCTTCCAAGTGGAAATAAATGGGGCTCTCAGATGAAAAGAACTCAATTTATTTATTAAATGATTATGGGAGTGATCCAGAAATGTAATTGCTTCCAAATTGTAGGAGCAAGTTGTACATCCTCGGCACTGTTAGTATTAGGTATTATTTTGGTGGTGTGTCTCTTGCCCATGTGCTTGTATAAAGTTCAAAGAGTAACTTTTAAGATGAGATGCTTTATTGAGTCATTGCAGCTTTTAGTTTCAATTTCTGCTAAATCCTTACCAGTTATGTATGGCTGCTGTGTGCTTTTGTTGGGTGAGTAATCAGTTTTTTTTTTTTTTTTTTGTGATACATTTCCCATTAGATATCAAACTTTCACATTCTCAGGGATTGGTATGATACAGTTTTATGAAAAGTTTATCCACAATGTTGCCAGAGACTTGTCATAAGCTCACAATTTGTTTAGCCATTTTTCTTATACTAAGGCCCTCCATCCTTATATATGAAGAATGCATCATAATCCAATGAACTGGTTTGATTATAGTGAATCGAGTCATCACCAGCCCTTGAAGTGATGGGAGTGAAGGAGAGAGAACAAGAGCAGAACCCACATTTGGGTTCATGCCATGTTCTTGTGAATGGGCATTGATGAACTGATAGGCTGTGATCCATAGTCCATTGTATTATGTTTATCCCTTCCCTTCTGTTTATGCTCTTTAATTACAATGCTCATTCTACATTTTGTTAGATCCTAGACATCCAAAGCCTGGATGTTAGTTTGAATTGAAGTGTGTAGCACTCTCAGTAGATACTCTGATAATTGTGGGAATTATTTTTCAAAGATTGCTCACATTGTCAAGACCTGTCTTGCTGTGTTGTTCACTTAGAGTGGATAGTGTTGTTAATAGTATGTAATCGCTTGGATGTCCATATTAGAATTTGATTTCAATTCAAAGATATGTGCTTGAAAATGTCCATGCATGGTCAAATTTAAGAAGGTGATGCTAATAAAAGTCAAGTAGGTTCACTCACATCTATTCTTGCATGGTTGGTTTGACATGCTAATTTCTAAATTCAACATACTAAAACCTTCACAGAGATCACATTATTGTATGCTCTAGTGGTTCTTAGACTGTCTAATCGCTCGATCAACCTTGTGACATCTCCTGACCAGCTTTTCTTCATTGTCAGGTACTCAGCTAACCATGCAATTTTAGATCCCATCTTAATTACTCTGCGAATCAATTTCCCATGTTAATTACTCTGCGAATCAATTTCCTAATGAATGAATAGTCATGAAACTAGTTTTTATCTGACATCATATTGCCTCACACTTAGGTTGACATTATATTATATGTTATATTTTCAAGATGTGTTCATATTCCACTTAAATGCTTTGAATTTGCCTTTGGACCTTCTTTGCAAGATTCATCCTCCTGAATGTGAGAACCCTAAAGTAATATCCAAACCTTTTTTTAAGTTTTTATCTATACAAACTGGGATTATCTCATGAACTGTCTAGTGTAGCTGTCAAAAGAAAAATGGTGTTATTCTATTTATCTGTTGGGAGCCATCTATACGAATGAGGGATCTGGGATAAAGTTTATACACTATTAGATTACTAGTGAATTTTCCTGTGGAGTACTCATATGTATCATGCAATTTTTTTTTTTGTTGGTGGATGGGGGTGGTGAGGTCAAATATTATCATAGTTAGTTTTTTTTTTTTTAACTAAATGTTATCATGTTGGTTGCCATTCTGTATTTTTATAGCAACCAACATCATCGTGATCATCATCCGACCCTTATCCCAACTATATTTCGGGCAACCATATTATCCTTAAATTAGCCAACCCCAAACAGTTGGGATAAGGCTATGATGATGATGATATTATCCCTAAATTGGATCACAATATTGGTGTATCAAGAGCAACAGTTCTACAATCCATTCTGAAAAATGTGGCAAATTAAACTTCCATAAGCTATTCTGAAATCAAAAAAATTAAATGATACGGACAAAGAGAATGGAATGGAGAGTTCGGGATGTCTAGATGTAAATGTGCACCAAAAATATGGAACTTAATGATATAGCATTCTGAATCACTCATGATTTGGTGCTGTTCCCAGGGATTTCAGAGGCAGGCCTATGCTCATGAGTTGAGGAAATTGACGTTGTGGGCAATAATTTAAACTAGTCACACAGATGGAGCATGGTATTTCTCATTTCTGATATATTTCATGCTTTCAACATACAATATTGATCAGTCTTTTACAAGAACGCTGGTTAAGAGTTGTATGGCAAAAGTGTCTCCAATGTCATGCAAGAATCATGTAGAGAAACTACCTGTTGCGAATCTCTCTCGCTGTGTGTGTTAGAGAGAGAGAGAGGGATGAGTCAATATGAGTGAGAAAGCATCGCTATATATTCTAGATCTCATGGATGTAGCCAGATTGAGTTCTTGTGTGATGCTGTGTCAGACCAAACTGTTAGAGAGTTTGAAAGAGTGATTTGCCAATGTTTGTAAAGCATTTTGAAAGCAAATTGTGAGTACATGTTTTCATCCTTTTGTGAGAACATTATGAGAAAGCAATGAGCTGATTCAGTTTCCACTGACCCTGGTGTGCAGGGCGAGGCATACAGGGAAAGGCCAGTGAACAATCCGACGAAGGGAAGTACGTCTTGCTAAGGGATGAAGAAAACCTCCATTCTTGCATTTTTGATAAGCCTCTTCCATGCTGCGGCTGTGGGATCGGCTGGTTCTGGTAAGCTCTCTCTCCCTCTCGTTCTCTCACATATGCACACGTTCGTCCCCCTTGCTTCTTTGGTATGTTGGGATCAATGTTATCAGAACTAGATTAGGCACCAAACTCGTAAGGTGTATGGTCAATCAAAATTGGTCCAGCCATTTGTTCAATTAGTTGGATCATGTTTTTAGAAAATAAAAAATATTAACAATAGTTTAAAAATATGAAATGCATTAGAAATTGTCTAATATTGTTTAGCCGGTCTAATAGGTCAAAACTGATTGATCTAACTTGCCAAAAGCAATCATAACCATAGTCTTTTTAGATTTCAACTAAACTTGATTTTTACTTTGGATTGACCGGCCAAGGCACTGGCCGTCCGGTCCGGTCTTGATAACTATAATGGATCAGTCTCTCCTTCACTCATGTGCCTGCATTTTACCCTTGCTTTGATTGGTGGCTTGCCTCTCTCTCTCTCTTCAAATTCCCTTGCTTGGCTTGTACAAATGGGATCTTACAATGGCTGTTTCCTTTTTCTTTTGCAAGTTTTCTGCTAGGGTTTGCCATTCCTTTACTGTGGTACTATGCCACAACCCTCTACTTTGGCAACTACTACCGTAAGGACCCTAGGGAACGAGCTGGGCTTGCTGCTTGTGCCATTGCGGTAAAAGTCTCTCTCTTTTGAGTGTAGCTTGCCTCTTTTGTTAGTAGCTTGCCTCTTTCATTCAAATAAAGGGAGAAATTAAAAAAAAAAAACACGTTTAAAAAAGTGTGGCTTGCCTCTTCTGTTAGAACCAATTTGCATTGGAAGGCTGTTTTGGTTTGTTAGAACCATTTCTCATTGGAAAGTTGTTTTTGGTGTATAGTTTACTAGCGAAATATTTATTTTTGTGACCCTTTGTTTTGGTTTCTAGTGTTCTCGCGAAATATTTATTTTTGTGATGCTTTTGGCTGCAGGCTTTGATATGCACAGTGGCAATCTTAATCACGGTAGCTTGCATATTTCTATAGTTGAGAGTTTCAGTTCTAGTGTTGAGAGCCTCCGAATTTGGAAATCTTCAGGAATGGAAGCGGGGAAAGGCCCCACCTATATTATCATTGTCTCAAAGGAAAATTACAGAGAGGAGAGGAAGTAAGAAGGGCTCGTCAAAACCATTCCATTCATTGTACAAAAAACACAAAACAGGAGGTTTAAATTATATCAATGCATTTCCTCATAGTTCCACAATTTGGGGCCTCAAAAGCCAAAGCACTGGATCTCATCAGAGCAAAACTTTTTATGTTTAGCACTCAATTCTTTGGAGCCAATTGCACCACATCTCCATTGACAATAAACCACGAACTTGAAGAGACCTGCACCAAAAAAATCTGCCTTCAAAATCTTACTTATAAATGGTGTTTAAAGAGCCTCTTTCTCTCCCTTTGTGTCTGATTGAGAGAGAGAGAGAGAGAGAGAGAGAGAGATGTTTTAGCTCCTTTCAGCTTCCAAACCTCTGCTGCTAATCTATATCATATGTAATCACCGTCTATTTGATGGGCTGTACAGGTGATGGGGGAAGAGTCATTCAAAATTAAGGGTGGCAACAGGCCTGGCCAAGGCTGGGCCAGCCTTGGCCCTTGTCCCGATAGGACCTGCCCTATGACTTGGCCTTTGTCCCATCAGGCCCTGCCCTTGGCCTTGTTTAGGCCTAGGCCGGGCCAAAAACAAATGAAGAGAAGTCGAAAGAAAAAACAAGGAAAAAGAGGGCCAGCCTGCCTAACTAGGCCAGCACTACCTGGCCCTCGGGCCACAGTTTGTGGCCCATGCCCTATTCTTTTAGGGTGGAGCCAACCAGGCGTGGCCGCCCTGCCTATTCAAAATTGATATCATGTTTGGTGGGTCGTACTCCCACGCTTTCAGCATCACAATCCCTGTGGACCCACAAGTTCATGTGGCCATATGGATCACATAACGAACTTTTATGATCTTTGTTATCCCTTCTGTACTTTTTGAAAGATTGAAGGGAACGGGTACTTGATCAACTGCATTGGCTTACCTTATGTGAGAAAAGCTCCTTGAGTTTACTTTTGTCTTGGGTGATGCCAGACTCCTTGAGGGAATCTAGGACACGTTTTCGCAGCTTCCGCAACTTTAGAGTTCCTTCGGGGCTCTGAAACATGAGCTCATTACATGGAAATAACAAGTTAAGAGACCTTTAGTTATAGATCTTATGTTCTATACTAATAAGATCATACTATGACATTTAACGAAGTGGCTAATATGTAGTGGCTCATATATATAGGCAATGGTTAGAGTATTCACGATGGACTAACATAATTCTATGAGAGTAAAATTTGGAATTCTCTGAGAGAGAGAGAGGAAAACTTGGAATCCTCTGTGTGTGCGTGTGAGAGAGAGAGAGTGAGAGAGAGAGAGAGTAAAACTTGGAACAGGGTATTGCTACAGTGCAACAAACTTGAACAAGATAGAAATCATAGAACAGATAGGATGAGAAAACAACGGGTGGTGAAGGAAAAAATATTGAAGATAAAATCTATTGCAGCCGGGTTCCTATTTTCCTAGTTGGTGGTAGTTGTTAATACTGGCAATTTACGATGAAGCAAGAACAAAAGCAAAAGATAGCATCAGTTGAAAGCCAAACTAAATACAATTAATGGAAGAAGTTTTTTTTACTGTATGCGAGAGCGTTCAAAGGAATTACTCGAGTGAGTCAAGGGATTTACAGGAATTGCTGCTCAAATTTATGCCCCAGATTAGAGACGACTCTGCGGAGTACTTGAGTTTGTAGAAAAGACAACAAATGTTATGGATCAACTTCTGTTTTTAGAAGAAATGAATGGGGACTAGTTACCTAATCTGTAGATGATTCCATGTCCACATTATGTAAGAAATCATGGAGGAAATTCAGGACACACTTTTGCAACCTTTGTCAAAATCGCATCAAAATTCACAAGACAGCTGAATGCAGTTTGTGTGCATTGTGTGTGTATGAGAGAGAGAGAGAGAGAGAGAGAGAGATCCATGATTCAGACTAGAGATATAATTACCGATTTCAGGATAGAAGTTATCAGCTTTTTCCACTTTATTTCGCCAATGCTCTTCCTATCACCATTCTGATCAACTTTAGCTGAACTATCACTAATGCATCTCCTCTTCTGGGGGGGGTCATATGATTGGCCTCCATCATTTCCACCAACCATTTTTCCATTGTTTAATTCTCCATTTCCATTCTCTAAATCTTCAGCTCCTCCAGAATGAGGCTTATTCATTTTCCTCTTTTCCTTGGACAATTTTTCTTTTTCAGATTCTAGGCTCTTAGTGTTTGAAAGATCTTCAACTTTTGGAAACCAAGACCTTGATTCTGACTTCGCATGACCATTGGCAACAGGTTCATTCTCATTGGGTTTTGGTTCTGCTGCTAGTTTGGTATTTTGGTTGGCAGCATGAAAAGCTCGAGCTTTTGCTCTGTGTTTCTTCCCTTCAGCATGGAGCGACAGTGCTTGATTACTCGTTGCATTGGTGTTACAGAGGCTGCATAGAAACAACTTATCGTTAGTAACAATAGTTAGTACCACGGCATCAAATACATCTCTCTCTCTCTCTATAACCAAAAAAGCTGCTTGACATTTAGAGTTTTTCCTTGCATCCCAAATGACAAGAAGATTGAGAACAAAAATATATATAGAAGCAATGGTGTCTTATGCAAAGTCACATGTGCCAAGTCAGACTTTGGATATTATACTAAATCATATCAGAGTTCATTAGCAACGTTAGCTTACATCCATATAAAGAGAGATTTAGTTCCATGGGCCGATCAATATAGTGATTAGTGAATGTGGTTTTATCCAGGTGGGGTTATTCGCTTGCACTCGCCATGGGTGTGATGAACCTCTGTATGCCTATTGCACATCAATGTCTGTTTACTTCATCAAACAAATGACAGGCACAAAGGATGACAATGCTGCCTCTGACGTAACATCGAAAATCAATCACAAAGATGGCTTCATATAATTTTTTCAATCCTAGTTCCTCAAGAATATGTACATTATTTCCATTTACCCACCAAGAAGAATTTGGAGTATTTGGCATTTTGATATTCTTCTCGATACTTGTGTGAGGTATTTTATTCTTCCAGTTCACAAAAGAGTTTCTCCTATAAGCAAATGAAAATGGACTATGCATATATTGGGCCTAATTATGCAATTTAGTAATTAAATAGAGCATTATCACAATAGTATTTTTGGCTATTAACCAATAATATCCCAATATTCTTCCATCTTATGATCTTATCACGATGTCAAATTAAAAAGAATAGCAACATGCTGAGGTGGGGAGCAGGTGTTCAAAGTCATTAGAAAATGCAAGTTATGATGAGCGTGTAATCTTTATACATGGTGATTATAGTCCACCATTCCCTCAAAGGTGTTTGGGTCCTTAAACCCATGACTAAAATTACAAAATTGCAAGTTTGTCCATTAATAAGTGAATATCCATCTCAGAATGGTATCCAATGAATTGGTCACGCATCTATTGATGATGCCCAAGTTTTTATCTAGAGCTTCAGGGGTTTGCAAGTCCTAAATAACTATCTGCTAGCAAAAAGATTCATTATTCTCACCTTTAGCTACCAAATGATCACAAGAAAAACAAAATTCACTGCACAATATCAGCTAACAAGAAGTTTTGTATCACACTCACTTTTTTTTTTGGTTGAGTATCACCCTCACTTTTAGCTACCAAATGATGACAAGAATGAAACATTCATCACACAGTTTTCTTCCAACAAAACCTCTTTCTTCAAATAAGTTGCAAAACTCCTAAGATTAGGAGCACCCATACCACGTTGTCATCACATGTTAGGGGAAATATAACTCTCACATTGATTGCCAAGCAAAATGAAAATACTCATAAGTGATGATAGTTGCCATCAGCTCACTTGCATTCCTAGCGATAAGAATGAAGATGATACAGTTGCACATATATCACCGATATATAAACATAAAACATATACGCATGTGTGTATATCGCTGCACAGGAACAATAACGTATTGATTTGTATGGAAAGTTTTGTTAAAAATGAGAAAATAAATAAGTACATGAATTTCTAAGAGGTGGACTTGGCATCAGAAGACTACGCACATCAACAACACCTTCCAGGAAAATTTAAGTTGGGAATTGGTGAATAGAACCCACTCCAAATGTTTGGAATTATTTGGGAAAAATTAACTTTGAAGGATTCATATAATAGTAATAAGAGGAGACGCTTGGGCTTGGATATATAGCAAACTCCCCCATTGGTTAAATGTCATAGCAAATGGGCCCTAGATGATGATGGACTTGTTGACAGACTCACATGATTACCCAATAATAATGGTGATTTTACCTCCCATGGTGGACATGATTAGAGATTAAGAGGAAAACATAATACCCTAGAGGCCATATAGGAAAAACCATTTCACCCTAGGGCCTCTTGGTTTTCATGCTTAGCCTTCCAAAAGAGGCAATTACAACATATAGGGCACAAAGCTGGGGACTCCAACTGAGTAACATATATGCCTAACGCTAATAGTGAGACCTGCGGCCACCTTTTTATCTCATGCGATTTTATGAGTGACACACAAAACTATGCTGTGGAAATTCAATATTAATACATTAGCTGGTCCAAATATCGCAAGTCTCCTAGCAAAATAAATACCTCGCCAACTTTTTCACTCTCCCTAGGGGTCAAAAGAAGATAGCACGCAATCATTCCAAAGGGTTCTAAGGGAAATAACTCGGAAGATCAAAAATACCACCCCACTAAAATGGTAATTCCACCAAAGGATGAAAACTCAGTAATTATTATAGAAGGTGGGGATCTGAATTCCCCAACATACCTGAGTATATTGAATGTACATAGTGGGAAGTACATAGAGGGCGTCTAAGAGCCCATTGTGTGCATTACATTGTAATTATTACACCATATACATCTCCACAAATCACATCAAGAGAGGGGGACCTGGGGTACTCACTCTAGCCCCTCACTAACCTAGCAAAAAACAAATTTCTACCAAGAAAAGATAAGTAATACATTACATGGTTACAATTGATGATGACTGCATCGATCAAGAAAGGAAAAGTGAAAAACTATCAATGACTCTCGTTAACATAGTGAGGGAGCAGAAGAGCCTAAATCGCAGCTTTTTAGAAGGAGAACTATATGAATACTATTGGAACAGGCCTAAGTTTTCAGAAGCTCTGAAGAAACCTTATGAGTGGCATGCTAATGGTTACATTTATTATATCATGCTCTAAAGTTCGATAACAAATAGACGCATCAGCCCATCAGCATACAAAAAAGTGATTACATAAATTCCAATCGTGGTAGTGTCAGGGGCAAATAGCGGGATAGAAGCAGGAATGGATGAAATATGTAAGAAAAGTTTAAAACTGTGGATGCCAAGTTAGATAACAAATAGATACATCAACCCATCAGCATATCAAATAGTGATTACATAAATTCCAACAACAAACATATACTCAACTTTAGGATCGCAGGTTTCCGGGGTGGCAAATAGTGGGACAGAAGCAGAAATGGATGAAATATGTAAGAAATAGCAGATTATAACAAACTACTTTCCATTTGAAGTTTAAAACTGTGGGTGCCAAGCTTGTTCAAGTTGAAATGATAAGGGTCATTATCATTATAGAATGCTTCCAAATTAGACCACAGACAGTGGTATAAATTTGTTTGAAAATTTAAAAACTATGACACAGGGAACATTGTAATGATGAGAGAGAGTGGTATAATAAAATTGGCATGAGCATAAGAGAGAGACATACAGTAGTCAGAGTTAACGAAGAGGTGTAAATTTACCTGCAAAACCATGGTGGACGAGAAGATAAACCGACATTTATATCAACATCAGAATTCTGATTAGATTCGGTTTTAGGCTTGTTTGCTGTGATTGTAGAAGCTTTTCCTTGACCTTTCGGACCATATTTCTCCTGAAGAAAGTAACTGAATGTCAGTACGTGGAATGTATTAAGAACAAGAAGTAGAAAGAGAGGCATCAAGGACTTTCGATTTCTATAAGTCAGATGCATCGATACTACTGATTTTTAGTAATGCACAGATTACGATTATTTTTGGGTGTTTTAAGTAGGTTGTGGTTCAAATAGGAAGTTTTCTGGAGTCCAAAATAGCTTGGAAACTTGCTTCTAGTTAGTTTCGAAGAATCTTTAACTTCAAATGTAACATACTGCTTCAGTGATACATTGTTGGTGGCCTTGAACGGTTGCCTGAGTGAATATCACCCCACAATCAATGCATGATAGCTGCAAACAGAAAACAACATAAAAGCATTCAATAAGCATATAAGGCATTTTATGTCAGTCTTGAAACAAAGATGAAAGCATAAGTCAGAGCTGAATACAAAATTCAATGCAAACCTGATGCTTTGTCCAATGAACCCGGAAAGTGTATTTTGCTAAATGTTAGTTGCTACAAGTTAAAGCATTAAAAATGAAAAATTTTACCTTTCAACGAAAGGAGAAAATTTTCTGATTGGATCAAAGTATTAACATTCAAACTTGACGATACACTAACTTGCCCAGCTAAGTACATGTACTCGCTGTTGCTTCTGAAAAACAATTGCTTCCGAGAAAGGGAAAAGTTTTATAAAAAACAAAACATATGAGAAATGTATAAACTCTAGTTGTTACATTATAATTGATAAACATTTCAAGAATATGGCAGGTGCAGCAGCCTTGACCACAAAGTTTTCACACCTACCAGTTTTTTTCTTTTTTTTCTTAATTGACCGATCACTTCAAATATTAAATTACTCTTCCAGAAATGCCAGAAGTTTTAAATTCATCTTTGTCATATTTCATGAAAAATTTGATCATGTCCAAACCAAGCCAATTAACTCATGGGGTAAACTCGACTTGTATAAACTTTCTGAACGCTGATAGCAATAACAATGCAATGAAAGAGATATTAATGACATGAAAGATCGCATGATATGATCACAGAGAACAAAATGTCGACAAGTATCTGAACTTTTAAGCATTGTTGGATTTCAAGGAGAATACTCTCAGTGCGATCAGATGGGTAATATGGTGTGGGAGTTCGGAGGAATCAGAAAATTCTCGATTCTTTTCGATCAGTGATCAGGAAATATGTTCTCATCTTTTTGGTAACCAGAAAATCCTCAGATTATGATTGTTAGTTGGCAAACATGGAGGGGCAGTTTCAATTCTTGAGATATTCAAAGATAAAAATTTTTAGAAGGATCTTTAGTTTCGAAGATTAATGCGACGCTTTTTTTTCCAGTTACAAAATAATAACTGAAAGTAGTAGCAAACAATGTACATTAAATAAGAATATCAAAAAGAAAATTTGATACTGCACAATCACTGCCCTTTCTCAGGATGACTAAAGATCCCATAAACGCCAATAAAAGCACAAAAAGTACCACAAAAATTGTTCTTTCACACTTCAAAATTACTTAAATTCGTAGCTTTTGTATCCCAATCCAAATTCAGTTAAATCTACCAGACGCCTAAACTTCTATCTAAGAAAATCACCATAAAACAAATAACTAAAATGTTAAAATCGCTCTAAGAATTACGACGATAAATTCTTTTTCATTCTACTGTAGCACTTCAAAATTGTTTTTGAAATGAGAACTGACCTTCTTTGCTGAGCAGATTCTGAAATGGTTCTGTAACTTTGGCTTCTTCAGATTTTCTCCACAATCTTCACATTGAAACCAAACCATTTTTATAAGGAATGATTGTTTATGGAGAAGAATTGAAGATCTTACCTCTCCTCTCTCTCTCTAAGCTGCAAATCAACTGCGTAATGTTTCAATCGATAATCACTTTCTCCCACTTGAAGCAGCCCTAGCCGTTGTGTTGAGAACACAAGGGTTTCCGACGGTTTTAGGGTTTGTCTGGTCCACCGAAACTTTACTGAAATTGAAATACCACCGAAACTTAATGGAATTTAGGCCCTCCACGAAAACTCACTATAATTACCAATCCAACCGAAACTGTATGAAATTTTGCGACGGGCCCGTTAGTTTGGCGCGAAGGGTCTTATGCTGTGAGGAGTAGCCATAAGATATCAAATTGGATTTATTTGAGTTTGTTACAAAGTTTTTAATTTTTTTTTTTTTTTCTTGAACTTTCTGTTTATTCAAGGGTGGGGTTTGTGTAGAGCCGAGGCTCTAAACAATCAAAGTAAAACGCACTTTTAAATAGTATCTAAAAATGTGGTTTTAATATTGAAAATCTTTGTAATAACCTTAAAATATGTTTTCATCTTTAATTATAAAATTTAAAGCTTAAAAAATAGTGTAGATCAAGAAGATCTATGAAAACTCGAAAATCTTGAAAATTGACGGTCAAAAAATACGTTACAAGATGCCCGATTTCCAAAACTTGAAATCCATTTTTTACTCATGTCCATGCATCTTAATGTCGAGATGATCAATTGAGGATATTTGGGCATCAAAACAACATGTTATAGTAAAATTTTTGAGGTAGGCTCTAATTTGATTGTTTAAACCTTTGGCTCCATACAGTTCCAAAATCTTTGTCACACAGTTTCAAAATTTTTTTTTTCTTAAATTTTCGAGTTTATTGACACACTCAATATTTAAAATCCAATAGAGAAAAGTGATTATGACTTCTTTTTATTCAAAGTAAATGGTATCTTTATATATTTTTCCTTGTTTACTAAATAGAAACTCAAAACCTTAGCCTCTTTTTACATTTACCCCCTTCTTAGTTTTGAGCTGTGACATTTACCGCTAGGTTTTAAAATGAGAAATTTGCCACGGCCACAAAAAATAAATAAAATATAATAAAATAAAAAATTGAAATAAATTTACAAAAAGAATTCTATTTATAATTAAAATTTTAAAAACAAAAAATATTTATAGAAAGCACTCACCTTATACTATAAAAGTAAAAATGATTAAAAAATTTATCCATAGCATCCACTTTATATTATAAAAGTAAAGTGCACTTCAAAAATATATTGGAAAAAGTAAGACTGAGGCCCTAACCGATGAAGGTAAGACACCCTTAAATATTGCTGAAATATAATATTTCCATATCAAAACATCTTTTTGATGACTTAAAAAATAATTTTCATCTTTAATCGTAAAAGTTGAAAGATTAAAAAATAGTGTAGATTGAACTCATCCATGAGCATTAAAATATCTTGAAAAGTTACAATTTAGATAAATATATTACAAGATGCACTATTTCCAAGACTTGAAATATATTTTTTCTCTGTTCATACATCTTGAGGTCGAGATGATCGAATTGAGTGTCTCTTAGCATCAAAATCACCTCTTCCAGTGAATTTCTGTTGTGTGCTTCAATTTGATTATCTAGGGCGTCACCCTCATATAAACTATTTCCTTGAGCGAAGGGGGCAGGAGTAATGGTGGTAGTGACATCTGAGCCCCAGTTAAAAGCCTTGACCTCCATTTTCACTAACGGATTAAAAAATAGATTATTTCAAAAATGAGAAGGAGCTCGTCATCCTCACTACCTAACCCAGAAACAAAGATATTTGAGGGATATGAGTGTAAAATTTGAAAATAAATTTGGATGGGTCTCTCTCTACCAATACGTGTGCATTGATTGAGTGCTTCAATTTAAATGTTTGGTCTTGCATGTGCAAGGGTCTTCTAGTTTGAGATCTACAAGCACATCACTTATAAAAGAAAGCAACTCCCTACGTGTTTCTTTGCACATGCACCATACACGTGTGTATATCTTCATGGATAGAGTTCTCAAATGATAGAAACTTTTAATCTTTGACATATATGTAAAATAAATCTACCATTGGTATAGATCAATTATGTGTTCTGCATATATCAATTTTGTGTTCTTCACAATCAACCTTAGACTTTGACCAAAAAAAAAAAAAGGCTAGAGTAGCTTGTTTGTTTGAGATTAAACTTCAAAAGTTCAAACCCTAGGCCTCTCTCCATCAAACACGTCTACCACTAAAGAATATAAGCCAAAAGATATTCTACTCCCTTGGGAGTAGAATGTGTATTTACTCCCTCAGGTAAAAGCCCACCTAGAATTAATTTTAGGACTCCAAACTTTTGGGATATAACATCTTCAACCTATAGGTTAACCTTAATAATAATAATAAAATCCTAATTGTATCCTTTATGCACCTGAAAAAATATAGTGTCTTGAGATAGAATAGAGACTGTAATTTGAATATCTATTTTTTTTTATGGGAATAATCATCTCGTATTTCTTAAGTCCTCCCAAAATTTATTATTGAAAAAATCCGCTTAAGTAGGTCTTCTGACCTAGGGAATTGGCAGTAAACTATGCTCCTAACGGAGCACAGTATACGTGGTCAATATCAAATAAAAATACAAATACAAAGAATTTTCTAGGTTAAAAAAAAAAAAAGGTACAATAAATTTTAGGGGACCTTCAAAGAAGCCGAGTCATATGACCTCTATCTCATAACACCAGTTCTATGAGCCCTATGGAGTTCCCAATGAAAATAAGTATGACCTAGTAGTGGTCATTCTCAAACTCCATTGACAGTATTGGTTCCCTTTCTCTGGAAATAATAAGAGTAAAATGCACTTCTTCTTCCCAAATCCTACTAACCCCTACATTTAATTGAAATCATAGAATCTCTTATGTTTTTTTCACTGTGTAGCCCTATGGTTGTCACTTATAAGTGAAATAGAACAATGTGTTGTTTACAAAAAAAAAAAAAACGGAACCATGTGTTATAGTTATCATGATGTGATTCCCTTGTAATTACAATGTGATAAGTGGTTTACGAGGTCGTTTGCTCGTTAAGGAATCGGGCTAGGGCTTGGGCCTGGGCCTGAGTTTGACAATTGACGTCGTCATATCTCAAGTTCGATTCCTAGCCCTCAACTATCCAAAAATTAAAACAAAGGTTTCCAATTTAGGCATGACATCAGATATAGCATAGTTTATGAGTTTTTACTTTTTATGTTAATATTTGTTTTTATCCAATGGAGTGAGGCCTCTTGGCTTAGCAATTGGGAGGTAGGACAAAGTTTGAATATTATCCTCCAAAATTTGATCTTTGAAATCCACCTTATCCATCCACTTGAAAAGCAAAATCCAAATAAATAAATAAATAATCCCTTTTCTTTTTAATAATTAATATTTTTTTATGAATTTTTTTGTCTCTTGGGTTGGTAAGCTGTGGGACTGGAAATTCCAAACATTGCGGTTTCACCGCCCCAACTACCGAATCATGGGAATGAGGAAGGAATCCATGAATTAAAAAGTGAGTGGAATGTTGCCATACCATTTATCTACTGTACAAGAATGTTACATTTGATTACAGCCGTTAGATTTGAAATTAGTCAACTAAAATTATGTAAGAGTATAAAAAAGCCAGTGGACCTTTGTTAGGCACATTCCCAACTACTACAATTGTTTATAGCCGTTAGATTTGAAATTAATAAGCTAAAATTATGTCAAAGTATAAAAAAGCCAGGACCTTTGTTAGGCACATTCCCAACCGCTTGTCCCACATTTGATAGCAAAATGATAGTGACCTTTTTATATTAAAAATAAATAATGAATCGAACTTGAGATGTAGTATTGCTAATGTAACTTACTAATCACTCAAGTCCAAATCAAATTCTTTTAAAAAAGGAAAAAATTTATATAAAGTTCCAACCTTAAAATGTAGAATTACAGATGCATCTAAAAATTCCATCGGAAAAGGTTGTTATAATGTTTAAAAACCCTCTAATCAATCATCTCGACATAGAGATATATGAATATGAAAAAAAAAAGTTTTAGAGACACTAAAATAGTGCATCTTGCAACACATGATCTAGACCGTCTATTTTTAAGATTGTTATATGTTTATAGATCTACTTGATTTTAATCATTTTTTGAGTTTAAAACTTTATAATTAGATATGAAAATAAATTTTAAGATAATCTTAAGAATTTTTTACACCAAAATTATATGTTGTGATAAAATTTAGAGGTGCGCCTTAATTGGATTGTTTAAGTTTGTAACCTTATAGAAACCACAACCTGTAAAAATGAGAGTTAATAGTTTAATGCTAGTAAATAGGACAAAGTTATGTAATGTGGAAACACATACATATTGCTTTTAGTGTAATTGATATGGAAACATAGTACGATTCCTTCTTTCTGTTTGTTGCAGAGTGTATGACATTGTCTCTTGTCTTCAGATTCCCTTATTTTCACAAAGCTTCTTAAATTGATCAGATAAGTATTCTCTCTCTCGATCAGTACGAAGAACCTTAATTCTTCTGTTCAATTGATTTTCAACCTCTATCATGAAACGGTGAAAGCAATCTATTGCTTGTGATTTATGCGAGATTAGGTATACATATCCATAGTAAGAATAATCATCGATAAATGTGATAAAATAACGGAAACCGTCACAGACCATCTCTTTAAATAGGCCACAAATATTAGAATGTATTATGTCTAGAAGACCGATTGTTCTTTTTGCTTTAGGAAATGGCTTTCTAGTTGATTTTTCAGCTATACATGATTCACAAATATGTAGGTCTATTTTGGATAAAGGCAACAATCCTTCTTTGACTAACCAGATCATCCTATCTTTTCCTATATGAGCAAGTCTATCATGCCACATTATGGAGTTATATGTAATATAAGAGGTGGAAAAGGATGACGATGTCATATAGGTAGAATGAAGGGAAAAATTAATATCATTATTATCCAAAATAAATAAGTCATTAAAAATTTGGCCATAATAGTGAAAACCATCTGGAAATGTAAAGGTAGCATAATTAAGCAACCATCTCTAACTAGACATAAAATTGAGCAACCATCTCTAACTAGACATAGAATTGAAAACAATTTTTTTCTCATTCTGGGAGCATGGAGGACGTCATGGAGAAGAAGGGCCCGTCCACTTTGGAATTGGAGTTGGTAAGTTCCAACCCCTAGCACATCCTCTTATGCACAATACCGCATTATCTTCTGACTTCCAACCAGCAAAGTTTGGAGCTCAACGAACC